GTTCCGACCCATAGCGACCCTGTATAGGGTTTCCGAGGGTACATCTTAAATATGGCAGTCATTTCTGACCACCATGTGGATTTCTACATAGTATAAAGGAGCCGTGGTGGCGCAATGGTTAAAGAGGTCCACTATTACATAGAATATTGGCAGTTCAAACCCATCTGCCACCCCACAGGTGGGCGACGTGGCCGTTTGTGTCCATACAGATGACAGCCTTGGAAACCCTGTAAGGCCTCTAGGGTCACTATGGGCCTAAGACAACTTGAGGGCAGCGGGTCTGTGGTTGTATTGCTTTTACAGAGGTACACAAGTGCGGAAGACAACTGCTAGAAACACAACACAAAAGAAACTTTAGCTGGCGTTGCGTACGTGGAGTATAATGTCACACTAAGTGACGGCCTGATCAAAGCTGGAGGGGCAACAAAGTAACTGAACCAGAGATGTATTTTCACAGGCAATTACCCAGAAGCAGTGAGGATGAACTCCGGCGTCTCCTCCTGGCTTTCTATCCCGATGACTCTCTACCTGCAATTTTCATTCTCTGTTAAGTTGTTTGGGAACACAGACTGGGAGAGATTGTTCTCTATGTTCCCAAGAGTTTCTTACAAAAGTACTAACTGTCTACAGAGTCTAGCAAGTATTCAAATATTTCTGATTGACAAATGAGAAGGGAAAAAGTTCAAAGTCATTACTGAAGCAAACATCACCACCTGTTTCTGCGATTACCTGGTGGTGTACGCTGGGGACATGTGAACAAGTCATTACCATTTAATGTCACTTGTTCAATGGCAGACATGGGGGTGGACAAATACAGGCTTTTCACTGTTTCAAATGGCATATTGATTAGGCCAAATGGTTTTCAGATACCATGACACAAATTAATTACTTCAAGGTATTTTTCAGATTCACTCATTCAGCAACTATTTAAGGAACCTACTAGGCTTGGGCACAAGGTTCGTCACCATGGAGACATGAGATCATTCCGACCTGGCCCCTGACCACGTGGCTGAAGCTTTCAAGTCAGTATGTGAGACGAGATACAACACGAGATAAACAGCAACAGGATTCAAAGAAGGAGACAGAGACAGACAGACAGACACTGTGAGGAAAAGTTCAGATGAGGAACAAGCTGAATTAGTCAGCAGGGATTACCTTGCTATGTGCCCTCGGTAGAGAGACTTATACTCCCAGTTTGCAGGATCTGGTTTCTTATCTGTCCTGAAGGTTTCTCCTGACAGTGCCTGAATGTCTTCGAGCCAAACAAGCCCATGTCCACTGTCGGCAGCAGTGTGATTTTCTTGACTGTGGGATAAAGGAAAAAAGGAAAGGCTGTTTTAGAAACCTCCCAGTCACAAAGGTGGCATTTCCAGAGCCACTGAAGTGTTTCTAACCCAAGCCTGCAGCGAGCACACGGAGCATCTAAAATGTGCACGTGCTGCCAAGGCGGGACTCCCGACACCTCTTGCTTGGGAAGAGAGCTTTTAAAAATAAAGCAAAAACTGTCACCATTAAACGACACTTTACCAGGGCAAGAACATGCCTATCTGAGGGATTAACTAGCAGGAGACAGCCACTCTTTTCAAACTCGTCATTTAAATGACTCTAACTTGAAGTCCAA